CCCCCCCCCCCCCGCCCGCCGCCCGGCCCCTCGCTGGCCCACACACTGCTCCCCTTGGCTGGCTGGCCTCTGCCTCGCCTCCAAGTGCCGCCTGGCCGGCACCCGACCACACCAACCATAGATGGGATTTCCTCCGGTCCGGCCGGGCGGCCATCCGCTGGGGAATGAAGGTGCCGCTGGGGCTTCATTGGCCTGGCGGGAGATCGGGATAATGGGCGTCAAGGTCCACAGTAACCGCCAGCCAGCAACTCCCGGAGCAGTGGGGCCTGGTGCGGGGCCGGGAGCCGGGCGAGGGGGATTGCCGAAAGGGCCGCCCCTCCCCCCCCCCCCCCCCCCCGGCGCCGGAGTGGTTGCGAGCATGCTCACAGGCAACTTTTCCCACGAGCAGACACAGCACGCTGCGCGAGGGCCGGGGTACGGGCACCGGAGGCTGGTCCAGGCGTCGGCGCTGATCCGCCCTTGGGCCCGGCGGGCGCAAGGATACCGGGAGCTGGTCCGCCGGGGCGAGCCACGCAACCGGATGCATGCATGCATGCATGCCTGTGTGTGCGCAGGCCCTGCACCAACTGGCACACATATGCACGTCTGTGGGCATGATGGCCGTGACATCACCCGGGCAATGGTGGCCAAGGTGAGATCAAGCCTTCGCGACGGCGGCCGCGATCGTGCCCCTCGACCGTGAGATACCCCGGACCTGGGTGAGCACAGCTGGCGAAGGAGCGCGCCGAGATCGAATAGTATCGCCCCGGCGCCCCTTCCCCTGCGTGGGGCTGTGGATCCCTCCCTCAAGCCCGGGATTCACGATCATCGGGGTGTCCTTGCTGGCTCTCGGCCCGGCGGCAATCATAGGGGCCGGGGCCGGGGCCGGGGCCGAGGGGCAAGGGGGCGGGACACACCCGGCGTCCGAGGCGGGTGCGAGGCGCGCCGAGGAGCATGGCATGCGCGGGGATTATTATATCAACCGTCTCCCGAGCACCGGGGGAGGGGCCAGGCACGGGCGTGGGCGCGCGGGGCCGGGACGGCAAGCAGATGCACGCGCACCCAGCCAAGCGGACAGACCCGGGGGCCATCCATATCTCGGCCGCGTGTGTCTGTTGATCGGTCGCAGTCAAATTGTGGGTGATGCGCCGGGAGGGATCGCGATCTGTGGAGCATGGGGCGGCGGGGGGGGGGGGCACGGCCCATTGTACCCCGGGTCTTGGGCCGGGCACATTGCTGGTGGCGTCCCCCGGGCGAGGCCCGCGCGCGCGCGCACGCGCGCGGGAGGCGGGGCCAATTTTGTTGGGGTGGAAATAAAAAGAAATGAAACATTCCCCGGGGCGCAGTGTGATTCTCCCTCGCTCTCGCTTTCTTTCCTCGCCCTCCCCCGGCGGCCGGCGTGGGCCGATCTTCGGCGCCTGCTGTTCCCGCGCCCCCGGGCGGCGCCCAGCGTGGACTTGGGGCGGAGCGCCGGCTCAGTTGCGCGGGGGAACACACATGATGATATTTCTCCGGCCGCAAATTTCGCCAGCGCCCCGCGGAGGGGGGGGGGGGGGGAAGGCGCTGCCGGGGGCGGGGAGAGGAAAATACCTCGGCCCCTCGGCCCCCGGGCGCCAGGCCGGAAACCGGGGTGGGGGGGGGGGGGGGGGGGGGGGGGGGGGGGGGGGGGGGGGGGGGGGGGGGGGGGGGGGGGGGGGGGGGGGGGAGGGGTTTTTGGTTTTTGTCTGTTTGGGGACTTTTTTTTTTTGGTTTTTCGGCAAGGGGGGAGGGGAGGGGGGCGGGGGAGGAGGCTCAAAAGCATGCGCCTCCCGAGCAACACGCCTCACCCGCCTCCCAGACGCGGTGGCGCCGAAGGTCTTTCCTCGACTCCGGCCCGGGCGGACCATGGCCCGAGTGCCGACGGGCCACATCGTCAGGCGGCAGTTGCTGGAGTGGTTGCTCGCCAGCATCGGCGCAGGGCCTCTGCCCGGCCTTGCCCTTGACTCATGCCCCCTCGCCCCTCGCCGCCCCCTGCCAGCAGACACCCCCCTCGCCGTCCCTCGCCGCCCCCCCCCCCCCGCTCCTCCGCCCAAAACCCAAAACGCCTCGAGGCGCCCGAGAGAATTAATGAATCCAGGAGACAATCGCCTGGATGGACGCGCGCGCCGGTGCTCGAGCGCCGCGGCTCGCGCCCGAATGTGCACGCGGAGAGACATACGCTGCTGGGGGGGGAGGGGGGACGTGCGTCAACGAGAGCTCCACTTCGCTCGGTCCCCCCCCCCCTCCCCTCCCGTCTCCCGACTGCGCCAGCCCGGTGGCGGTTGCCCTTCGCCTGGCGGCTGATCGGCCACCGGCCCGGGTGCGACATGTGCGGCTTGGAGCTTTGGACGATGGCCAGTCCGAACAGCCCGGGACATACGCCCTAAATGCCAAGGCCGGGCGATTTGTTTTGCCAACTAAGTCCCCGCCTCCCCCCCCCCCTGCACCCATGTGTTTCCGGGGATGTGGGGGTGACACGCGAGGGAGGCCGTGCGGCTGCCGTGGCTGTGGCAGGAATGAGCCCCGCTTGCGAAGATGCATCCACACTCGCACTCCCCCCCCCCCAGCAACTGGGGCGCAGGAGCGATATGCAAACCAGGAGCCCAGCGAAATGTTCCCCTCGTCGGCCTGCACTGTGCCCCTACTTTCGGCACCCCTGTGGGACAATGGGCCGGGGCCGGCTTCCGTAGCACAAAAAAAACCAGGTCGCCTGACCCGGGGATTACCCCCACCCCCCGATCGTTGCCCCCGCCCCACCACGGCCCGGCCGGCCGATGCACACATCGCACGGCTGCGGGGCGCGGGCAGGGGCGAAACAAATATCGGTGGCAGATAGCACCGGACCAATGGGCGTCACACACGCCAGAGAGCCCCGAGACCCGGAGGGCTGTACCACGCGCCGGCGGCGGTTCGGAGCAGGGAAGCGCACCCGGGCCTAGAGCAGCCAATCCGCCGCCCCCCCCCCCCAAACACACACACACACACATATATATATATACACACACAGTGCATGTGTGCTCGCAAGTCCCCCCGCCGCCTCCACAGACTGCGAGGAGGGGGACAGCAGACGGGGCCCCTTACCCCACAGCATCTGGTCAACAAATCGCAGCGGGAAATTGGGTCTTCCAAGGGGATCATCGTGGACTAGATCGAGGGAGGTGGATCACGCGACACGCGTGCTCGGGGTGGCCGCCTTGGGCCGTGATCCGAATTCAAAAAGGTCGATCTAGCCAAGTCGACCCGGGGAAGCCCCGCACAAACACAGTGGGAGGAGGGGAAAAAAAAAAGGGACGCCCTCCCTGAGGGCTGTTGCCGCCACCGGCGCCACCCTCCGCTACTGGACATCCCGCCCTGCTCGTAGTCACACCGCCACTCCTGCCCTCTCCGTGCTTCTCTTGTCAGTCTTCCCGCTCGGCCCCCTTTTAAGCAGGCCCTCCGTGGCTTCCTCGCTGCCCCGCCCCGCCCCGCCCCGCCCCGCCCCGCCCCGCCTCGCCTCGCCCCGCCTCGCCCCGCCTCCAGGCCCCTCGCCCCCCTCGCCCCCCTCGCAGACAGCCGCCATGCAGTGCCCCGCCGCCGCCGCCGCCGCCGCCGCCCAGGCCGACCCGTGGCTCCCGGCGAGCGACTCGCCGTCCGGGCACCTCCGCATGCCCTCGGCCCTGCGCACGGTGCAAATCGTCGAGCGTGTGGATCTCACCTCGGCGTTGACGGTGAGCGCCGGGGCGGCTCTTCTGCAGCCGCCGGCAGTCGCCTCGGCGACCCCCGCCGGCTCGGCTGCCCTGTACACCGACCGGTCCATCGGTCCGCCGGTGGCACTTGGCAGCCCGCCGGATGGTGGGCTGGACCCGGCGCGCGATGCCGGCCCCCCGGCCGCCGAGCCCGGGGCCTCGGCCGATGGCCAGCCAGCCTCCATTTTGGAATACGGCCCGGTGACCTCGGTGCTGGTGCTTTCATCGGTGCGCTGGGCCTCCCGCTGTCTTTCCCTCCTGCAGCCATGTATGTGTGCGGGCTCCTTTCCTTACCGCTGTCGCCCGTGTCCTCCGATCCGGTTCGCTTGCGCTCGCACCAGGGGCTCGTGTGCATCGGCACTCTGGGAGGACTGCTTCTGTTCATTCGCCTGGCGGCCGGCCAGGAGCCCGGTGTCCCACCGGCGCGTGAGACCGCCGGCGCTGAGCTTGTGTGTATTGCCCGTGGCCTCGGTAGTGTACGTGTGTGTGTATGTGTGTGTGTGTGTGTGTGTGTGTGCGCGCATGCACCTCGTGCTCTTGCCACCCATGCTCCCCTTTTCGCATGTCCACCGATCAGTGTGTTTGTTCGCCCGCTTTCGTGCCTCTGCCATCCCGGTCCTTTCTCCTTCTGCCTTCCTTTCTCGTTGCTCACCACCGACATCGGTGCCCGCTCTGGCGCCTCCTGCCTCACCTCGCCGGCCGCCGCACGCAGGTGATGTGGATCGGCGAGGTGGCGGCCTTCGCCTCGTACCCGGTGTGTTCGTGTCTCGCACATGCGCGGGCTTTCTCTCGTGTTTCCGCTCCTCCTGTGGCCCTCCTTCGGCGCCATCCCCCCTGACCTCCTCCCCCCTGTGCTCCCCGCCGCCATCTTGCACGCGCTCCTGCCTGACTCTGAGCAGCGCTCCATGCTGGCCATCTCGGCCGAGGGGCGCCTCTATGTTTTCCCCCTGTCGTACTACGAACTGGACGATGCGGCACGCCTGCCTGCCGGCCACTTGCGCCTGCTGGTCCCCGCCTCGTCGGTGGCCGTGCCGCTGAACATCATCCGGGTGCATGCTCAACGGCACTATGCGCCGCCGGCTGATGTGGGCCCCGGCGGTGCCGAGGCCGACGGTCCGCCAGGCCCCGTCGACCCTGCGAGTCTCCTTGAGGCCAGCGTCTCGGTGGACTTGCTGCCCGTGACAGCCACCTTGTCCACGGTCCTGGTGGCAGTCACCTCCGATGGGTCGGTCATCCGGATGAAGTTCTCCCGGAACGCCTCGGCCTCGGCATTGGCCGGCAGCGCCCCGCCCGTGTCCGCCATCTTCGAGACCCTGTCCGGAGTGAACACCTCGCACTTTTCGGTGCGGCCCCAAGCCCTTCTTGTCTCTTCCCCTCTCCGTCCACTCCCTCTCTCTCTCTCTCTCTCTCGCCCATCCTCCGGCGGGAGGGGGGTTGCCTCCCGACGACGGCACGACATGCCTGTCGCCCAGCGTGCTGGGCATGCACCTCGGTCTGTGCTCCTCCAGCCAGCCACGACCCTAACTGGCTGTCTCCCTGCCTCCCTGCCTCTCGCTCCCTCCTTTGTCGCCCCTTTGCATGCGGTGGCCGCGCGCAGGTTGCCCTGGCGCGCGAGCGTGTGGTCCTGGTCAGCCGGAACCGGCGGTACCTCGGCCGGGAGGATGGCCCGCCGGGGGACAGCTCGCCATCCTCCCGCGGGGCGCCGGAACAGACAACCTTCATGCAGGAGCACCTGAAGCAGCACTACACCGATGCGCCGATGGTGGTGGAGCTGGCCCCACTGCTGCCGGTCCCTTTCTCGCCGGAGATCCTGTCGCACGCGACCACTCCCCGAACTGGGGCCAGCTTCGGCGGCTCGCCCGGGCTCGGGGGGCCTGGTGTGGGCCGGGAATTCCCCTCCCCCGGGAGCACGTCCTCCAGTTCGTCGGTGGCCACGTCGGCGCCCTGCTCGCCGGCCACCTCGGCCGGGTCCGGCCTGCCAGGCGACTTTGAGGACAGTCTGCCCGGGAGCCCGCGCGCCGGGGCCCGGGCCTGGACCCCGGACGGGGGTGCCTCGGACCAGCTACTGGGATACGAGACGACCGAGCCCGGGCAGGACACCGAGGCGGGTCTGGCGGACGGCAGCCGCACCAGCAGCAGCAGCAGCAACAGCCGCAGCAACAACAACAACAACGACGCCGCCGCCGGCGCCGACGGCAGCAGCGGCCTCGGCCTGTCGAGCTACGGGCTCGGCCCAGACGACATGGACCCGGACCAGGCGGACGCCGTCCTGCCGGACACCACCCAGCGGGTGTGCATCATCCCCCCGTGGGTTCTCTCCTGCCGGTCGAAGGCCGACATGTTGAATTCCCCCTCCATGGCCACGGATGACAGTCTGCCGGCCGAGCGTCTGATCGGGGCTGTGGTCAGCGCGTCGCTGGATGGCTCGCTGGCGGTCCACGTTCCGGCGGCCGCCACCGCCCCGAGGCCCCGTCGGGAGATGCCGGCGGCCACCACCGCGGCCGGGGTCCCTGGTATGACGCCGGCCGGCGGTGCTCTCCCGGCCCTGGGCCCGGGCCCGGGCCCGCCGGCCATGCCGGCCCAGTGGCCGGCGGCCTGGTGCTACTTCTCCAAACGGCCGATCTTCTTCGTGGGCCGGCCGCCCCCGCGGTCGGAGCCGATCCACATCTCGGCGCGGCCGACCCGGCGGGACTCGGTGGCCGGGGCCGGCCCCGGGGACCCTCGACGCTCGGCATCCCCGGGCCCCGGGATGGACCGGCCGCCGCTGGGCCGCGCTCGGCGGCCATCCCGCCTGTCGCAGCTCCTCTGCACGGCGGTCGCCCGTGATGGGACCATCTTCTTCCTGTACATCCTGCCGCGGTCGCCGGGGCCTGCTCTGCCGATGGGCACCACGGCCACCGGCGGCAGCAGCAGCCCCACCGAGCGCACCTCCGGCTCTGTGCCCCCGCCGCTGGACCCGATCTCCAGCCGCGTGCTGGCCGTGCGCTTCGAGCTGGGCGCCGGCGTGGCTCTGGCAACCTGTGGTGCGTCTCTGCCCCCGCCCCCTCCCCTCCCATCGGCCGCGTTCTGCCGGGCCTCCTTCGGGTGTGCCTTCCCTGCCTCACTCTGACCCCTCCCGCCCTCTCATGCTGGCCCGGGGTGCGCCTCGGCCGACCGGGACGCGGGGCTGTGCAGGCCGCATCGGCGGCAAGGACGTCCTCATTTCCATCACACAGGCCGGCGAGGTGATTGCCATCTTCGCGCCGCCGGCCCAGCTGCTGGTGCTCGAGGGGGAGGACGCGCCAGGCGACGTGCCGGAGCTCGGCTGGTCCTTCGGGCCCGGCAGGGAGGGCAGCCAGTCCGGCCTTGGCACGGCCCCCAGCCCGCCTGGGCAGGGCCACCGGCCGGCCGAGGAGGCCCGGGCACAGCCGGAGCAGGAGGGCCCGCTCTCGCTGACACACGACGCCGGGCTCCTGCTGGAGGCGTCGGACCCGCATCTGATCGCACAGCTGGAGTCCCAGCTGGCGGCGCTGCAGGCGGCGCTGCAGCAGCGCGGCGACTCTGGAGTCTAGAACGTGGAATTGTGTTCCGCCGGGGCGTCACATGACCGCCGGAATGTAATTCTCTTCCCGCCAACTTTCGACAAGCGTTTCAAGGCACAGCCGGGCGCTGGGGGGGGGGGGGGAACACGCCCGGTGCCCGGCCCCTTCCCCCGCCGGACTTGGTCTGCGCCTTCTCTGCTGCTGGCGGGGGTGCTTTCGCTGGGGCCCGGGTTGTCCGGTTGGGGCGTGGTGTGCGCCGCGCCGCCCGGCCCGGCTTCCGGCTGGCGTGCGTGCGTGCATGCGTGGGGCCGAGCGGGGAGAGGTGTCGCGTATCCCCCCCTCCCCGGCAGCCCCTCGAGTGTGGCAGGTCCTCGGGGGGAGGGGGGCGGGACACTGTGTTCGGGTTGCGCGCGCACGCGCTCCTCTTGTTGCCGGGGCTCTAGCAGCTGCACGGGTGGAGTGGACACAGTAGACACCGGGGGGAGGGGGGGGGCCTCATGCCGGCGCGCATGTGCCCGGGCGGGGGGAGGGCCCGGCACGGCGGCGCCTTTGGCCGGGGCTTTTTGCGCCCCCGGCCCGGGGCGCCCCCGCGCCAGCCCGCGGATCAACAGAAGACTTGTCGCCCCCTTCCCCCCTCCCGTCATTCTTCTTCCCTCCTCTCAAGATGTCTTTCGCCAACACCTTCCGTGAGTTTCACCCCGCTCGCCTCCCTCCTGCCACACCTTGTCGCCCCTCGTGCTCTCTCCCTCTCTCTCTCTCGGCCGACGTGGCGGGCCCTCTCGGGCGTCCCCTCCGCAAGTGTGCTTTCCAGTGTGCCCACGTCCGCGCGGGCCAACTGGCACACTGAAGCCCCCCTAGAGCGGCGGCTGTCGGCCGATGGCTGCGCCCTCCCAAACACACGCACACGCACACCGCCCGCCAGTCGCATGTCGTGTGGCTGCGTGCTGCGTTTGCGGCACATGCGCGCCGTCGGTCGATGTCTTGTCGCCTAGGGGCGGTCGGGTCCCCTGCGGTCTCCCCATTGTCCTTCCCCCGCCTCTGTTGGTTGTGGGGCCGGCGGTCTCCCGCACCGCCGGCGCGCCTGAAAGGCCCGCGGGCGGGGGGTTCCTCCGCGATCCCCTTCCCTTCGTGCATCGTTGCCCTTTGCTGACCCCGCTCCGCCCTCTCCCGCGCCTCTGGCTCTCTCCCATGCAGTTACCAAGCTCGCCCCGGTCATCCACGCCTCTCGCTGCGTTGGTGCCGTTGCCACCGAGGTTGCCCGCCGTGAGGCCCTCATTGTTGGCCCCAAGGACCTGATGAACTTCACCAAGGACCTTGCTGCCATCAACCTGAAGGTACGCGCGCGCCCCCCCCCCCCCTCCCTCGCCGCATGCTGCTCTCCTCCCGTGGTCGTCCACTCACCGAATATTGCCCACCTGCGCCTGCGCACGCACACACATACACACAGAACATCCCCCAGGCCACCGTTCGCCAGGCCCTGAACTTCACCTTCAAGACCTTCCAGGTCCTGGGTCTCTTCACCATCGGCGAGATGATTGGCCGCGGCAACCTCATCGGCTACAAGGTCTAAGGCTGCTTGTCGTCGTCTGCCCCCTTTCCGCCCCCGCTTGCGCACCGTCGCGCGCGCAGGCGCCCTCACACACGCCGCCGCGTTCCCGTGTCTCCTCCCCTGGACCGGGCATATTGAGCGCGCGCGCGCGAGCCCCCCCCCCCCCCCCCCTCCCTGACAACACCCCACAATACAGCCCCCTTTTGATGGAGAGTGCGCCACACCAGCAGGAGACGGAGAGAGAGAGAGAGAGAGGGGCCAGGTAGAGCAAGGAGAGGGGGGCGCAGAGAGGGGGGGAGGGGGGGGACAGCCTCATCAATCCCCGGTCTTCCCCCTCACAGAGCACCACCCATGATCCCCGGGACTACCTCGCACGCACGCGCACATGCCCATGCGCCTGCTGACCGCCACCCCCACGGCCCGGGGCTCCCCCCTCCCCGCTCACCGCTCGCCGCTCGCCGCCCCTCCCGCTCGGCACAAAGAAGGGGGCGGGGGGAGGGGGCGCATCTATTTGCCCTAGAAGAGGGCCGAGACATCGCGCTGCGTCAGGAGCAGCTGCAGAGTGCGCATCTTGGCCGGGGGGAAGTTTCGCCCCTTGGCCGGGAAGGTGAAGGGCTCGGTGGCGATGTATGCCTGGAATTCATCAATGTGATGCCGGGGGTGGTACCGCCGGTTGAGGAAGTCCACTTCCACGGCGGCGCGCTCCTCCGGGGTCAGTTCGCGCCACGCACGCTCGGACAGCTCCCGGTACTCGGGGTCCAGGAAGAAAACCACATGGCGGAGCTCGTGCGCCAGGGCCACCCGGTCGCCGGCCACCAGGGCGATGACGTATGACCGGATCCCGGGACGCGGCTGCCGCGGGGGGGTCCACTCGTGGAGGTGCTCGGGCGCGCTGTCCGGCACGAAGGGCGCCGGATGGAGCAGGGCATCCAGGACTTGGGCCTCCTCCGGGGCCAGATCCTGCCGGGCGCAGCGGGCCCACTCGATCAGGTCCGCCAGCGGGGCATTGAAGCCGCAATAGCGCGGCGGCGGCCGGCAGGCATTGGGCCAGTCCGCGCGCGAGGTGTACTGGCCCATCAGTTGGAAGTGCTCGTAGAAGGCCGCCGGCCGGCAGAGGGCCGCATTCAGCTGGGACTCGGTGTCAAAGAGCAGCAGGGTGTAGCTCTTTTCCTGGCGCACGACGAAGGGCGGGCCTCCGGTGGGAGTGCCGCCCTGCCGGGCCTTGCCCGGCTGGGAGTGCTGCTCGGGGGCCTTCTTCCGGGGTGGCATGTTTCGTGTCCGGAGCCAGGGGAGGGGGTGTGGATGTGGGGCGGGGGGCGGGGGGTGTGGGGTTGTGGGGGGGGGGGGGGTGGGAGCGAGGGGACGGGCGGGCAGGCAAGGAGCGGGGTGTGCGCTGGCAGTCGCTCCGCGGGCGGAGACCGCCGGGGCTGGCTGGCGCAAATACCGGGGGGGATGCCTGCGACGCCGAGGGCTGCCCCCCGCCCCCTCCCGGGCGGACCGGGGGCACCATGCAGCGGCATAGGGTGTCACGCCGGCGCCCACGTGCTTCCACATCACGCCGGCGCCGACTGGTCCGTTGGAGGAGTCCGGGACGCCATGAGCTGCGCGCGGCGGGGCGGCATGCCGGCCGTCTCCCCGTGGGGAAGCCGCGGGGAGGGGACCGGGGCCGAAAGTGACCCATTCCTGCCCCGGCCTGCGGCGTGCCAAGGGAGGGCGAAAAAAAAAAGGACCGAGGCGGAGCAGCCCACACGGGCTTTCTTCCCCCCCCCCATGAGAACCATTCTCTCAGCATGGACACAAGCCAGCCTCTCGCGCCGTCGGCGGGGGGGGGGGTGGGGGCGGGACGTTCAGGCCCCGCCGAGGCCGGTATCGTGTCTGCACGCAGCGCGCGTCGAGTGGCCCGCACGGCGACGTCGTGCGGCGCGAGGCGCACTGCCAGGGCCCCCGGTGTGCAGGCGAGGGCCGGTCCACACGTGAAGTTCTCCCGCCCCCCCCCCCCCTCCCAGGCGCGTGTGGCCGTCTGGCAGGAAAGAAGAAGCCACTGTTATTCCCCGAGGCCTTCGGGGGGCCCGGCCGATCGCCCCAAACTTTGCCCCCCAGCCCGGGGGCTTGGGAACTGGCCCGGGGATAAATCCCCTCCCGGAGCCTCGCGCGGATCGTGGATCAACCCCTCCCCGGCCCCGCGGCGACCGATCGCCCCAAGATCTGGCCGCCATGTTGCGAGGGGGGAGGGGGGGGAAGGGGGCGTCCCTCGCCCACGCAGAGAGCTGGCCACTAGCGCCGGGGCGACCGCTGCCTTTTCCTCCCCGTCCCCCCCCCCCCCCCCCCCCCCCCCCCCCCCTCCCCCCCCCCCCCCCCCCCCCCCCCCCCCCCCCCCCGGCCGCCCCCCTGTCGGCCATCTCTCCCTCTCTGGGGCGCCCCATGCCATGCTCGCCTGGGTGCCGCGTGGCGGGGGAAGGCGAGAGGGGGCGGAGGGGAGGGGGCCCATGCGTGGCGTGCGTGTGCTGGGCACTTTTCTGTGGCCCCCGTACCCCCGGGAACCCCGCCGGTTCCCCTGCACATGATAGCCTCTCCCCCTCCCTATCGCCTGCACCCTCTCACTTGCCTCTCCATTTTGCACGCACGCACGCACGCACACACACATAGCCAGACACTCGCGCACCTGCCCCTTCCGCCCCCCTCCCCTTTCCTCTCTCTCTCTCTTGTTCCTTCTCCACATACACACCCGCTCGCAGATACACATCCCCCCCTCCTCCCCTGCGTCGCCTCCTCAAGGGGGGAAAAGCCGATACCCCCGCGCGCCGGCGAGAATGTCCAAACGACCCGGCCACCAAGGCTTCACCCTCCCCCGGCAGCCGTGCACCAAGGATGGCACCCCCCAGCAGGCGGAGGACAAGTCTGGACTTGACGCGGGCAAGGCGCCAACTGCCTCCCAGCGGCGCGCAAATGCCCCACCCCCGCCGCCCTTCTCGTCGCTCGTCACGCCGCCCCCGCCGCCGCTCTCCCCTGCCGATGACATTCGCCAGGCGGCAACCCGGCAGCCGGGCTCTCCGGCGGCCGTTGCCCCACGCCCGACCTCCAGCAGGGTGGTCCGCCCGCCGGTGGTCGGGTCTCCCCCCGGCCTGGAGCCCAGCACCTCCCCGGGGGTTCTTGCCTCGCCATCGCGCAGCATCAGCAAGTCGCCTTCGTTGCGGCGCTTCGCCATCAAGCGCAACTACCGGTCCAAGCAGATGCACTTCAATGCACAGCCCGACGCCTCGCCGTCGGGAAGGCTGGCATTGCCTCGGCCGCGACCGCCACTGGCATTGGACTCGCCCACGGACCTAGCCCGGCACCAGGCCCCGGGCGATGCCATGGTGGCCACATTGGATGACCCCGCGCCGCGCCCGGCCGATAGCTCGGACGAGGAGCGCCCCGCGGATGGGACCACTGCCCAGCCCCCGCCCGCCCTGCTCACGGCTCGGCCCCGGGATCCCGGAGTGGGGGTCTCCCCCGCAGCAGCATCCATGCGAACCACCCATAGACGCCCTCTCGGCCGCGGGGGGATCTGGGCAGGGGAGGCCACATCTGCCTCGGCTGCTCTCCGCCAGCAACGCCAGCATGAGCGGGCCCAGGCCGCACGCGCGGCCATCCTCCATTCGCCCAACCGCGAGCCGATCCTGCCGCCGCTGCCGGGGTCGGCTCTCGGCCCCGGTGGTCAGTCTCCCGGATCGCCGGCCAACACCCCGGGGGCCTGCTCCTTCAGCACCGGCTACCTGCGCCTGTCGCGCAATTGCCCGTCCATATATGTCCAGTCGAGCAGCTCCTCCCTCTCGTCGGGCCTCCCGGCGACCCCGGCGGCTCGGAGTAGCTCCGCCTCCTGCGCCTGTCCCCGCGCTCCGGACTGCCGGCCAACGGCCCTCCCGATCGATCCTCAGCCCTCGTGTACGGTCTTCCCTCGCGCGCGTGTCCCTTCCCTCGTCTGCCGGCTTCTCATCTGTCGTGCTTTCCTTCCCTCCCCTGCCCCGTGTGCAGCCGCGTGCCAAGTGCCCGTCGCGGCCTCGGGCCCGGCCTCGGATTTGGTCCTGGACCAGGCCCCTTCAGCGCCTCCGGCCCCGGAGCCGCCCGGCCCCGGCGCCACCTCGGACGCCGGCCTGTCCAATCCCCCGGCCGCCGGGTTTCGGCCACGGAGACAGAAATCCTCCTTCTCGGAGAGTGCCCTCTCCTGTCCGAAGGCCTTGCACTTCATGCAGCTCAGCCTGATGGACCGGCTCGGGGGCAATCTGCCAGCGCGGCCCGCCCCGGCCACAGGCGACAGCCGGGGAGTCGCAACACCGGGCCCCACACGCCACCAGTTTGTCATCGACCCGGATTACACCATTGCCCTGGCCCTGACCCGAGCCAGCAAGCTGGCCTGCCCGGCCGGACCGGCCAGGCATCTTTCCGATTCCGACAGCGGCTGGACCATGGATTCCGGGTCCGACATGTCGGTCGGGCTGGACTCCTCGTCGGATGCCAGCTTCATGTCGCACTCGAGTGCCACCAGCAACAGCGATTCCGATTCGGTTCGGAGGCTGGCTCCCCGCCAGGCGGCCGCTGGCCGGCACCCCCGTACCCCGGCCATGGTGGCTCCGGCTGCCCACTTTGACCGGTATGCCCCCTGCATGAAGCACCCGACCATGCGGCGGCGGTCTGTCGTTGTGGGGAGCCAGCTCCCACACCACTCCTCCTGCTCGGAGGCCTGTCTGTCTCGCTGCCTGCGCCATCCCCCCCGGTCAACGGTCCTCGGCAATCGCCTGTTCTTCCACCGGGGCATGGACTACCTGAACACCTGGCCCGAGCTCCAGTCCTCCACCGGGGTCGACTGCGGGTCCGAGGAGGACACCTCCCTCTATGGCTCGAGTGCGCATGTGGGAAGCAGCAGCAGCAGCAGCAGTAGCAGCAGCGCCAGCAGCAGCGCCAGCCAGAGTCTCGACGGCTTGGCGGCGCCGGGGGGGCTGCCCTTCGGTCGCTCGGCGGGCGGCCGCCATGCGCGCGACCCCCTGAGGCGCATGTCTTCATGGCAGGCATCCAGCCTTGGCACTGGCAGGGGTGGCAGGCCCGGCCCGAGCAGCCCGGTCGAGTTGCTGGCGGCGCGGCCCCGGTCGGCCCCGGCAACGTTCGGCATCGTCGGCGCCCGATCGACCGGCTCGCTGGCCCGGCTGGCCCGCCTCGCGCGGGGGGGCCGCCCTGGCGCAGCGCCCCCCTCGGTGGCCTCGGCATCGGCTCCCTCGCGCACCTCATCCACCAGTAGCCTGCCGGCTTTGCCCGGCGCCCGGCATGGGCTGGGCCCTGTGCCGGGGTCGATGTGCAGGCTGTCGGCCGCTTCGAGGACATTGCTGCCGACCATCGGCCTGGATGGCCGACTGCTGCCCCTCAATGCGGATGGCTCGCCGGCGCCCTTCGACTTTCGCCTGTTCCGGTCGGTGTCCACCGATGCACGAGACTGGCTGTGGGTCCTGCTGCGGTGGCTGGCGTGGCGCGCATTGCTCGGGCATGTGTCGGTGATGGCGCGGCTGTTGACTTGGCCATCGGCCGCCGGGGCCACCATGCACCGGCATTGCGTCGGCTTCTTCTGTCCCTTTTGCTTGCCGGGCGTGGACTGTGCCTTGGTCGATGAGGTGCCTCGCGCGGGCGCCGGCACCGACCAAGGGGCTCCCCTGCCGCCGGGCCCTGGCGCAGCATCTCCGGGGCCGTCCTCTCCGGCGGCGGCGGCGGCGGCGGCGGCGGCCCACATGGAGCTCTCCCTGTGGCAGGTATTCCAGCTTGTGAGCAGCTGGTGGTGGGCCCACCCGGCCAGCGGGCTGCCGCCCGTGCAGCTGGCCCTCGCGCCGCTGGTGGTGGGCCTGCTGCTTGGCCATCTGGCAGCCATGTGCGCGCTGATGTGGCTGCAGGAGGTGCTGGAGCTCGGGTCGCGGGTGGCCCTGCTCGGGTGGCTGCTGTTCGAGCGTCTTTCCCCGCAGTATCGGACGCTGGTTCCGCTGCTGATGTGCCTCCGGCACCGGCGCTTCCACCGGCACCAGCACCGGCACACCCACCGGCCACGGTCGGTGATGATGGTGCTTCGGCGTCGGGCTCGGCGCGTGCTCCGGCGCACATGGCGCCTCTGTCGGCGGCTGGCATTGGCCACGGCCGAGTCGCTCGGCTTGGCGGCTCTGTCGCGGCGGAATTTGCCGCTCATTCGCCTGCACCTGAATACCACCATCCTTTGCTGCCTGGCCATCATCGTCCTGCTGATGGTGTGTGGCAAGTGGCCGCATGCGCTTGTGGCCCTCGGGAATTTGGCCCTGCTGACGACCCTGCGCGTGCGCATCGAGCGCCCAACTCGGCGTCTCCTCCGGTGGCTGGGCACGGTGTATGTCCTGTCGCAGCATGTGGTGTTGCAGATTTTCTCCTGCCCCCTGCGCGGGACCGGGGCCGTTGCTGACACCGGCTCGCCGGAGATCGACATTTACCCGGGCTTCATGACGGCCTACCTCTTCCCGCTGTCTTGCTTCGCCCTGTCGCTGGTTCCGGCCCGGCGAGTGGCATCGCGGCTGCCGGTGGTGCTGATCCTGCTCCTGAATTTGCTGGCCTATGTGGCCCTTCGCCAGCGCGCCCTCTGCCCGATGACCAACCTCCTGGCGGCCACTCTGTACCGGGCCACCCGGCTGGACATGCGCCCGCGCACGGCCGACCAATACCAGGATGACAAGGCGGCCCTTGCTTTGGAGATGGACCTGTCCCTGGGGCAATGCCCCAGCACGGAGCTCGGGATGCACTTTGGCCGGTCATCCTGCGGGGACTTCGGCGGGGCCGATGACCCGGCCAAACCCGTGGCCCGGTGCTGGCCGAGCATCTACTTCGATGGATTACGGCCGGCGGTGCCGCTGGCGCGGCTCGCGCCCCCAGCGACCACGCCGGCTGAGCGATCGCTGCCCATCATGCCGCAGCTCCAGCTGCAACATACCCCCTGGTTTGGGCTGCTGCCGCGGTGGCTGGTGCAAGTCGTCAATCCGCACATCGATGTGACGACCATCCTCCTGGCCCCGGGCATGGTGGCCATCTCCATCATCGCCCTCATGATGTATGTGCACTCGCTGCGGGTGACCACCATTTCCTATGGCCGGGATTTGGTCCGCGCCAACAAGCGCACCCGGGCCATCCTGACGGAGATGATCCCGCCATCGATCCTGGGCCGGCGCCTGAAGATCGGCGCCGGCAGCGACCGGGCCCTGATCGACCGTGTGCCCCTGGTGACGGTGCTCTTCATGGATGTGGTGGGCTTTGTGGAGATCTCCAGCACCATGACCCCGGTGGCCGTGGTGGCGGTCCTTCGTGCCCTGAGCGATGAGATTGAGCGCCGCATGAAGGACATGAACGAGGTGGAGAAGGTCAAGGCCATCGGCGATGCCTTCATGCTGGTGGCCGGGGTGCCACTCCTTTCGCGCACTGTCCGGTCCGCTCGGGGGCTCACTTCGGCGGCCGTGCTGGGCCCCGGTGCGAGTTCCCCCCGGCACCGGCGAGGATCGGCCACTGGCGGCCGGCAGGCGGCCGCCAGTGGCGGCCCCCCTTCGCGGTCGTCGCAGGTTGCCCATCGGCAGAAGATCGGCCGGGTGCGGCCAGATGGCACCGAGAGCACGGACTACATTCTGGTGCATTACACCTCGTCGAGCCCCCTGTCGCGGACCTCCTCCATGACCATCTCCCCCTCGCGGGCTTTGGAGCCCCCGCCGACCAGCGACAGCACCTCGGCCCTGGACGACCGGACCAGCGAGGAGGAGGTGACGCTCATACCGACACTGGGACATCCGCCGGGACGCCCCACCTCGCGCTTGGGCGGCGGGGATGCCGTCTCGGCCACCACGCCGATTATCGTGCAATGTGCGCGGGGGGTGTTGATTTTTTTCTCCCTTCATTTTTTTTTCCTTTGTTCCTCTCCACCACCCCGCCCCCATATCCGGCGGATCTCCCTGACCTGCCCGGTGCCCCTTCCTTTCCCGGGTCCCCTGCCGGCACACCAGCCGGCCTTGTGGCGGAGAATGCCGGCCCCACCTCGCGATCGGCCTCCTTCTCCTCGGACCTCCCCTCCTCCGGGACACCATCCTCCTCGTCGGACTTCTCCTCGACCAGCCGCAATCCCTCCTCGGATTCGCCGTACCTGTCGACCAACTCGAGCACGGCCACCTTCCACCCGAGCACCACCGAATCCCATTCGGTCAGTGGCATCCTGGATGTGGTGGTCGACCTGTTCGCCGGGGAGCCTGGCCAGGCCTCGGCCGCTGTCGGCCCGATGCCGGCCCTGTCTTCACTGCCGTCCTCCTCCTTGTCGTCCTTCTCATCCACCGGGTCGGTGGAGTTGCTGGCTGCGGTGCGGCCCCGGCCATCGCTGCGGGCCGCGACCGTGCCTTCCCGTCCGGCTTTGGACCCGGCCGCGTCGGGGTCGCCCGCCGTGTCGAACTTCTGGACTCGCAGTGTCCCCTTCTCGGCGTCGCACCTTCGTCAGGCCAGCACCGGCGTCGTGCCCCCCCCTCCGGTCCCAGCAAGGACCCTTTCCTCGCCGTCTCTCGGGTCGCCAGCGCGCGGGCTGCAGGCCGGCCAGGTGCACCCGGCGAACTTGCCAGAGCATGTGCGAGGACTGACGACGGGGGCGTCAACAACAGCAGCAGCAGCAGCAGCAGCGGCGGCGGCGGCGGCGGCGGCGGCGGCGGCGGCGGCGGCGGCGGCGGCGGCGGCAGCCCCCCCGGAGACCGGGAATGCCGCCATCTCCATGGCCCCCGGCCAAGCAGGTAGCACCCACTCGCTGGCCGGAGCCGGGTGGCTTGCCTCCTCGGAATCCTGCCACATGATGAATGACTCCCAGGTGCTGACTTCCGGGTCGGACCCCTCGGTGAATGTCACCACCGAAGGCGCCGGCGGTCCACGGCAGCGGGCTTCCTCGGAGCTGGGGGAGTCTTCCCTGCTAGGGGCACCCCTTGGCGCTGGTCAGCCGGCCCAGGGTTACGATGGCTCGCAGCCAGCCCAGCCCCACGCATCGGCATCACCCATGGTTCGTGTCTTCTTCTTCTTCGTGCTCTTTCTTTTCCTCTTCCCTTCCCACTTTCCGCCATCCGCATGTCCATTGTCTCCCTTGCCATTTGCGATGCGTGCATGTGTAGGAGTGCCTCTTTCTCGCAGCAGCCCGGTGGGGGGGGTGCACGGGGGGGCGGGCAATGCCACATCTTGTCCGTGGCTCTACACCCTCTTTCTGGCCTTTTCGCTCGCGGCTTTCCCCGGGCTTTCCCGCTCTCTCCCTTGCCCCTGAGCTTTGCTCCTTTTGCCGGTGGTGGCCATCCTGGCTGTCGCGTGTGCGGCTGCACCGCAACAAGAGTCCCTCCCTTTCAAAACAATTGAATGCCAGCATTTGGCAACACACACACACACGCACACACATGCACATATATGTATATGTAGGCGCAGACACAGGATGAGGCTCCCGTGCTGCGGTTTGTCGCGCGAGCCGGAGTCATCTCCCCCGGGTCTGGGCCACTCGGCGACACTGACATCCCCACGCCTGCTGTGAATGGGCTCGGGCATCCGCGTACACGCCCGGCTGCGAGCAGCATCCAACCGTTGTTCGACTTCAGGCTGGGGCTCGGCCGGCCAGGCGCCGGCCGCACTTCCCCTCCCCTCTCTCCAATATGGCCACAATGTCGTCTACCTCGTCGCTGGAGGCATCGCCGCCGTCGTCGCCGCCGCCGCCGCCGCCGCCGCAGGGTCTCCCGTCGGACACTGGCCTCGCGGTGGATGGCCCCCCTGCTTTCCCGGCCATGGTCGCTGATGGCCATGGCGGCGGCGATGCCACCGTCGCCGACCGGGTGCCAGTAATGGCCTCGGCCCCGGAAGCCCCGCTCCAGAAGGCTGCCAGTAAGGTGTTTGTCGCGACATCGCACTCGACGCCGCTGGCAGCTGGCAGCATGGCAAAAGCTGGCCCTCCCGCGGGCGGGGCGGCCGATAGTCACACGAAGTTTGTGGCCTTCTCGCTGGACAGCGACCATCAAGTTTCGGTCCGTGCGACCCCCTTCCAGGCATCGCCACCAGAGGCATTTGGACCGACCCGCGGCCCGACACAGGACTCGGCGCCGGCGGACCTGCGGCCGCAACAGCAGCACCAGCAGCAGCACCAGCGACAGGGTGCCTCCACCTGGGAGAGCTCCTTCATGTCGGTCGACGACTCGCCGGACCTCCTGCAGCAGCAGCAGCAGCAGCACCAGCATGAAGCCATCTGCCCGGAGGACCGGGCCAACTCCGATCGTGGCTTGTGCGATCTGGCTCGCTTGGCCCTGTCCATGGTGGAGCAGCCGTTCATCTTCCGCGTGGCGCACCTCCGCCGTGACAAGCAGCCCCAAGGATCGCAGGGCAGAACCGCCGGGCGGTCCCCACGAGCGGGCCATCGCCCGAGCGTCAGGGAGGCCGATTTCTCGCAGCAAACACGCCAGCTAACCTTTCGCATCGGCATGCACCGGGGCGAGGTGGTGTGCGGGGTTATTCCCGGCCGCTTTCACATCTTCGATGTCTGGGGCGACACCGTGAACACGGCCAGTCGCATGGAGTCGTACAGTCTCCCAGGGCGAGTGCATTGCACAGAGGCCGTGCGCAGGGGGCTGATTGACACGCCGGCCGAATGTGGTGGCGGCGAATGGACCTTCGAACCCCGGGGCAAGATCTCCATCAAGGGGAAGGGTGACATGAAAACCTACTTCCTGGCGAGCTTTCGGCCGATGAGCCACTCCTCCCCGGGCTCCGACCACAGCAGCACCCTTGTGCTGAGTGCCGATGAGGACGAAGGGTAGGCCTCGCTACCGGGGCGCTCGCCATGTTGGCGCTGTGTCCGGCCGCGAGGGGCTGCCCTTCTCCTGGATTTGCTCCTCCATCTTGCCCCATCCTCGCCTTGCTCTCCTGTACATTCCTCGGCATGGATGAAGGGCGGAAGAGCCGGGCGAGGGGGCGGAATAACACCACGGCGCACGCATTTGCCGGTGCCGGGGGAAATACATTATCATATGCTTACCCCAGGGAGATGTCTGGGAGGGGCCGAGAAAAAAAAGTTGGATAAGCGCACCGGGAGAGCGAGAGAGCGAGAGA